CCTTTGAAGTTATTGCCAAGTTATTGCTATTAGTTATTATCTGTAATTTCAAAGAAAATCTGTAAAACAACAGCAAATTTCTAAAGAAATAAAATCTGAGTTTTTTTTCTACAGTGCAGATCGAGACTTTTCAGCTTAAGTGGACTGTTTTTAAAGAAAGATGGAATAAACATCTCCTTTGTGCCTGGAATGCAGAAGGACAAGTGCGAAAGCTACTACAGTAGAAACTCTTAACTGAGACAACAAAACAACACTTAAGATATCTTCTCTTTAAGTGTTCGCAGGCAGACAGGAAACTCACAGGTGGAGGCCTGGGGCTTGTGTGCAAGTGTGTGTGGGCAGCGAGGTGCGTGTAAACTAGCCTTAAATAAAAGATTAACCTGCATGTCCCTGGCGTGTTATGAGAGCACCAGGCAGAGGTAGTTGTGCAGGCAGGCGGGCAGGAAGGCAGGCGGGCGGGCGGGAAGGCGTGTGGGGAGCAGGACAGACACCCAGAGGTGGCTTTTCTACCAGCTGAAGTCAGCCGGGGTGACAGACGGAGCTGAAGTGTCTACGCCTGCCCGCACTCGCCTGAGCCTCACGTCACGCCGCCGTCATTGGAGCTGACAGCGGCAGGTCCGGAGGAAGCCGAGAGGACGCCGAGGACCCGTCTGTCTCTCGTACCTCTGAGAGGTTCCAGCGCTCACACCTTGTCAGCCAACACTCGCAGGTTGGTCGGAGCCGAGGAGACGCAAGAAAACAAGTTCGTCTGGAATCCAGCTGGAGGAAGATTTTAATCTGGGACGGATTGAAATCATCGTCCTTCAGTCTTCTTCGTAGTGGAACACGAAGCAGGCCGGGCCTCATTGTTCCCATCAGTCCAGCAACAATCATCACGTTTAGTTAAATCAGCTCTTCTGTTCTAGTTCACCTAAACACACGACTTGAGCTCATTCTCTAAGTAACTGAACTTCACTAATTTCTACTAAACCACTGAAAAACGTAAAAACTTTTTGCAACTTAAAGCCCTTTGACTGAAAACCAGAACAGCTGAGTTCAAGCAAAACTAGCATAGAAGCAGACAGAGTTGGAGCTAAACCTCCTCAGAGACTTTCAGAAAACTGACATGAGTTTTGTAAATAATAATAATTTTTAGATCACATTTAAAACTACAAACATGGCTTCCTGTAACCTGAATGAACAAACAGCTGAGAGTTCACTCAACTGAGTAAATTAAGTTTATAGGAAACATAACCAGCCTTCCCAGGATGCATTGCTAGAGATGTTAAACTCCTCAGATGCTTCTTGTTGTCTTTAATTTAAGTTACGGATGTCTGTTTTCATAATAACCAAAATAAATCAACCAGGATTGAGTCCCTGGAGTCTCATAATTTATCTCCTCACAGATCGTCTTTGTCACAAACAGCAGCTCAGGCTGGAACTTCTCAACGTTAACCTATAAAGAAAAAACCCTTAAACATTATAAATGTAAAAGCAAAGCAAGTCTGTCCGTAGAAGTTCTCCATGTGACGAGTTGATTCAACTCAACATCTTAAGTTTAATGAACTTATTTTCTCCAGTTCGGCTCGTTTAACTCGGATAGTTTCACACTTTGTCAGCTCGTGAGATGACTTTGAACTAATTAACGAACTAAAGTGCCCACATTTCCAAGGCAGAAGAGGAACTTCTGAGCTGAGTTAAACTAAAATAAGTGTATAAATAGCACGCCGCTTCCCTTCAGCAGATCTTTACCTCCCCTCAATCCTGACTGATGAAGAAATGTCATCTTGTTTTTTTCCATCCATGTGCAGGTTTTCATGACGGTGCAGGTGTATATATCAGGCTAAAAAAAAAAAGTGGTCTCTTTACTCCTCCCAGCCTCCCTCCTGCAAACCTGGCGTAGTCTGTTAATGATTTGGATGACTGTTAGAGAGCATGAAGCCTCTTGGCATTCCCTGCTGGAAGGGATCTGTGCTTTGTTAGCCTAAAAGTTTGCACGAGAAAATTGCACCCATGGGAGAGCAAAACAGGCGTACACCACGGGGGGAGACGGAGGGAGGGCAGGATTTATTTATAACTTTTTTTTTTTTTTTTTGCTGCGTTGATGCTCATCAGATAGACCTTGTAGTGCAGAGCAGAGAAGTACCCTAAATGGTTTCGAAGTGAGCGAACAAACATTTCTGCCTCTCTAACGGTCCCCCATTTAGAGCCCCAGCAAGTTTACAGCAATTCTGCTTGGTTTTTTTAAACTCTCTCCAAATATCTGTTGTTAGCTCGGTTTCCTCGCCGCCGCCGCCGCCGCCGCCGCCGCTGCTGCTGCTGCTGCTGCTGCTGCTTGGCAAATCACACTTAAGGGGAAAATCAGGTGGAGGAGAGAACATGGTGATAGTGATGATGATAGCATGTGGTATCCCAGTGTTATTTTTGTACACACCATCCTCCATTATCCCGGCGTATCTCTCAGGCTCCATTTTGTGGCCCATTACAGCGGAAGAGGAAGATGGTCCTAAAGAGGAATCATGGAGCAGCAGAAATATACTTCAAAAGAGCGGGAGAACAGACGGAGGCAGCGGCGGCGGCGGCTCGGCCGGCGGCCATCTCCGGTTTACAGTCGAAATTGTCGTTTCTATCGGCCTTTTAGTCGTGCTTAATCTATTACGGGAAATCTAATTCTGCGACCGGCGTGTGTGTCCGTGTGTGTTTACTCTCCTCCCCTGCTCGCTATCCCAGAATGGCTCGCTGATCTGGAGTGCCTGCCTGCCTGCCTGCCTGGTGCTCTTTAATGAGATTATCAGGAGAAGAGTGTCAGTAAGTAGGATCTAAAATGAAAGCCATTATGGAGCATTATCACAGAGCTGCACCACCCCAACCTCCCCCACCCCCCCAGCTCCGATCCATCTGCTGTATGACCACCCACACAGCCACTACGCCCAGATTACAGCCATGATTAGCACCGCAAAGTGCTGCTTAATTTAAACACCTCTGGAGAACATGTGGCACTTTGCTGCATTGCCGAGCCGCCGCGCTCGAACGCACACGCCGAGGGCAGCGATGGATTTCTGCGACTCCTCTCCGGCACCTGAACCGTTTGGCCCGAGCCGCTCGCGCGTCGCATCCGGCGTGTCGCAGGTGCGTCTGTACCTGACTGGAGCCTCGTCGCCTACCTTTGATCTCGCCGCGCGTGCGAACACAGACTTTCTGTTTTTTTTGCGACGTCTGTTCTGACAGCGAAGCAAACAAAATAACTGAGGCGACGTTAAAATATGTGGTTAGTGGAGAATTCACAAGTCGTGTACACAGAATTTTTTCTACTTCAAAAGCGGGACGGTTGACGGAACAACAAGTCTCGTCGTGCCAGTTAAAAACATCAAACACCTTAAATCCATCAGAGGAATATTTCAATCTTTTAGGGATTAAATATTCAAACTATTATCCGAGTGAACAGCAGATATCACGCTTCAATAGCAGGACGTGAGTCATCCAGCTCCATTAGAGCCTCGGCTCACCTTGTGCTCTACCTGTCCTCAGTCCTTTGTGTTGGGACAAGGAGCACGTGGACATAAATACTCCAGTTTGCTGGGTTTGATCCCTGTGAGGCTGATAAATACGAACATCACGGTGTCTGATTAGTGCAAAGGAACGTCACCAGAGGAGCTCGTCTTGTTTCTGGTTTTATGTCAATATGAATTTTGCTGATATTATTGTGTAGATTTGAACTTACAGACCACTTTAGAGCTTCTAGTAACTTTTCATTTTGATTAAAAGTCACGAGTTGAATGAATGAACAGCTGAGAGTTCACAATACTCAATAAATTAAGATTCTGAGAAAGAAAACTAACATATAGGTGGACTTCCCAGGATGCATTGTTCCACAGGGGCTTTTTATAGTTTAAGGGAAGACGTGGTGGAAACTTGCTGTGTGTCTTTGTTAAGCTGAGTTATGGTTGTTCCTTTTCATAATAATAAAAATAAATCTAACCACGACAAAGACTAAATCCAGTCCCTGCACCAGTAGAACTATGATCCATCTCACTGTAGTAACTAGAAGTTGTTGTTTTTAAACAGATTCTTGCTTCAACAGCTAAAACTATAAAAAGAAATTTAGAAAATATAAAAAGAAAGCAGCTGTCTCTGTGGTGAGTTGATTCAAGTTAATATCTGAACTTGTTTCCTCACATTCAGTGAATTTAACTCTGCTAGTTTTACATTTTGGGGCTGCAGGTGGAGCAGTGGTTAGCACTGTCGCCTCACAGCTAGAAGGTCACCAGTCCGGCTTCCTCCCACAGTCCAGAAACATGCTGAGGTTAATTGGTGATTGTAAATTGTCCGTAGGTGTGAATGTGAGTGTGCTTGGTTGTCTGTCTCTAAGTGTAGCCCTGTGATAGACTGGTTACCTGTCCAGGTGAACCTGCCTTCACCCTGATAGGCTCCGCCCCCCATGACCCTAGTGGTGTGGCGTGACTTTACACAAACTAATCAAGTTCAGTGCCGTTAACTCGTATTTTGAAGGCAGCAGGAGAACGTAAGCTTCTGTTCTGAGCTGAACAAACGTGACATAATGTACAGGGTGCATCAGTATTTACATGGAGATTAATGATGATTATAAGCACAAACAATCAATTTTGAAATCTGGCAGCTCTGAAACGTTGCAGACTTGTTACTTGGAGATGCTTTCTGTCGCACCACTCGGCTGAGCAGGTAGTCGGCAGCCTTCAGACGTCTGAACAAACCCTTTTCCCCAGTTAGCTCCAGCTAGCACATTCAAACTGCTATCCAGGTTTCTGAGCTCTGGATGTGACATTCATTTGCGAATACAAACCCTGATCATAAACCAGGACACTCACGTCCACATGAACAACAAACTGCAGTAGATTCTGATTGTCTCTCTACGTTTAGGTGAACGTAACATGAACGTTCTTTATGTTTTACTTCAGTGAAACATGTCAGATTACTTTCTCAGCTCCTAAAAAGTCTCTATTTCAAGAAGCAGAACCCTCAGCGTACCACTCTCCCCTTCTTACCTGTGATCTTATCGCGGACCAGCTTGCAGGACTCGATCTCGCCGATGCTACCGAACAGGCTGCGGAACTCCTCCTGGGTCATGTTCTGGGGCAGGTAGTTGACGATGAGGTTTGTCTTGCTGTCGTCGTTTGTCGGGCCGGTCTGCATGGGCGAGGGGCAGCCACGGCTGTTGGTGGTCGGCCCGTTGGCTGTGGTGCCTCCTCCGCTGGGGCCGTTTGTCACTGGAGCCTCCATGTTACTGATGATCTGCAGGAGAGGAGGAGGAAGGAGAGAGACGGCGTTCATTAGCAAAAGCTTCTCTGCAGCGTTGAGCAATTTGGACGGCTGAATATGTAGCAGGGCATGCACGGCTCTGACAGAAAGGCTGTTTTTAAAAGTACTTCTGTAAAAAGCATGATTTTGTAGCATCAATGAAAATAGCCTTTAAAACTCCAGACTTTTCTTTTACTGTACAGTCAGGAGAAAAAACCTAAAACTATCGTCTGTATTTGACATAAATGGACAAGCAAACATTTGATCCTCTTTGAATCGACGCCTACTGATAAAGGTGATGCACTCAAGCATCATCTATCAGCAAAAATATCAATAGTTGTTGTATTTGTCTCTGGATAAAGTAGGTTGGCACTAGAAGCTAGCATCGGCCCTTTTAGCAGAACAACCTCTAATTATTTCTTTCTTGCAAAAGTTCAGCAGCTCCTGGATATTTCAGGGTTTTCCTGCATCGACGCCTGTTTCCTTCAGCAGGATTCAGATCTGGGTTTCTCCTCCACGAGCCTTTATTCCTTCCTTTTTCTGACCCAGTGGATTTGTTAGCGCGCTGCTGAAAGGTCCACTTCCGGTTCAGCTTCAACTTTCAGACAGATGGCCTCACATTATCTTCAAAGGCTCTTTGATATGATACAAAATTCATAGTTGAATCAATGACTGCAAGCTGCCCGGTCCCCGAGGCGGCGGAGCAACTCCAAACCATAACATTTCCACCACCGTGCCTCGCAGATGGTGTGAGATTCTTCTCCTGAAAAGCTGTCTTTGGTCCGTGCCAAAACATGTCTACTGTTAATGTGGCCAAACAAACTCTCTTTGATTCATCTGTCCAGAGCGCATTATTTCAAAAAGTCCTGCTCTTTGTCTGTATGTTCGTTGGCAAACTGTGGCCGGTTTTATTTTTTTCTTTCCTTTGTTGTTGTTTTTGGCCAGCGGAGGCTTTTTCCTGGCTCGGCTCCCATGCGCAGGTCAAACCTGTTTCTGATTGTAGACGAAGCCCTTTGACACCGACGGTTGCAGAGTTACCTGCAGATCAACTGGTGACATTTTGGGGTTCTTGGAGACTTTTTTTTTTCTTCTCATCAAACGAAGCTGAATTTAGTGGTGTGGCCAGAACTGGATGGAGTGGAAGAAGTTTGAAATCTGTGCCACGTGATTTTCTTTAGAGTGGAATCATTGAATTTTAATAATTTCCTTTATTCTTTAGCAGATTAAGTGGCATCCACGGCCTTAGAGAACATCACACAGACCCTAGATGTTTTAGAAAAGCCAGGTTCCACGTCTGTCTGAGGTTCTAATCAATCATCTAATCAGACCCTGAACCATCTGATTCTGATTTTAAGTTTTTGAAGTTGTGGTGAATGCAGGGCTGTGCTTCTGTTTTATTAATAAATCGACTTGAATTATGAGAACACACTGTCGATTCCAGGTGTAATTTGTTTGAATGCATCACCTTTATTTCAAAAAAGGATCACGTTTGCTTGCACGAATACATATAAAGGATAAAAAGCGAACAATCTCCACTTGCTTTTTAAAGTGTGGAAGGTTTTTGGATTGAAATATCATTAAATGAAAGCGTGTAATTGCCATAAACTCTTGAGATGTGGTTAATATAGATATATAAATGTGATTCTTTAAGCATTTCGAGAAAACTGCTGACACTAGTCCTGAGGAGGAAGTTTGATCGCTGCATGCAATTCATCAGCCTGTTGAGAAACACAACAGTCGGTCGGTCATGCATCGTCCTCGTATGGAGCCACAAACTTAACACATAGTGAACAGACTGTACATTACATTAAACACTGAGAAACACATCAAACGCGAGACACGGGGAGGATAAACAGCTAAATATTCATGACGGCGATGCGAGGCCTCTCTAAACAGGCCTGTGATAGCTGCTGAGGTTTGTGGGAGGGGGCAGCGGCAGGGGCAGATATCTGACTGCTGATGCTGATGCTGCTGCTGCTGTGACAGAGGGAAGTTTACATTTTCATATCTGGTTTTTGCAGAGCATCTCAGGATCAAAGTGTTCAAAGAGGAACTGTGAGCTCGGTGTAAGTGTGAGAAAACAGGAGAAAAAAAAGGTGAGAAGGAGGGAGAGTCGGTCGGTCGCAGGAGGAGGAGGAGGCAGGTTGCACTTTGCTTTTCCACCGGAGCACTCTGATATTTATTTAGCACCGATGCTTATTCTGAGCCAACATTATTTTCCAACAAAAGCAATATGTAAAGTGAAATTATTAATACATTTGCATAAAAAGCATTTGCTCGATCAGATGAGCGGCTGCCGTGGCGTGTGCAGGGTTTGGGCTGGAAGTGGAGGTTTGCAAATGGAAAGAGCAGAAACATCTCATCTGCATCACTACATGGTGGGAAACTAAAACAGAACCGGACCGATATTAAATCCTGCGGCGCCGGTGTCATGTGCACGCAACGGCACTTCTGGTGGACCCAAACCCAATTGGAGTTCCTATCAAACTGACTGAGACACAAAGAGATTAATATGACTTTACTATCTCAGCAAAGGTTTTAGTGAAAATCAAGAGAAACTACTTGAACGTCCTTCTTCTGCTGCTTCCGTCACACCGGAGCGAAGGAAACTCGATGACCGAACACGCCGGAGCCCAAATTAAGATGCAAATAATCTGATTCAATCAAATTTTTAAAGTCATCACTCAGATCTCTGCCTCTGCTCAACCAGTCGGTCTATTTTTAACTAAAGTACAGGCAGACAGGCTTGGAAGCAGGGCTGGTTTCAGCAAAGCAGGAACGACACACCAGTCGTGTTTCGCTCTATTTCTGGATTATCCAAAAAAAAAA